TTTCAAAAATAAGGCATTGGAAAACATACAAGTGCTAATTGTTTTAGATTTTTTTTTAAAAAAGTACTGCTGCAGAAACCAGCAGGTGCAGCGCAGAGAACTATGTTCTCGGCGTTCTTTAATGCTTAGATACTTTAGCATACGTCTTTCGCGTTCATTGGAGGTGAAGGCACGGGCCCGAAAGCGGCAATTCTGCACTCTCCTCTCGGCGCGAGTGCGAGCGCATAGAACGCATATTTGAAAGACAAGCGCTTGAGCAGAAGCAATTGTAGCGAAAAGAAGAAATCTGAAACAACGCTTTGGGGAGGACCGGCGGACGTGCTTCGCTAGAATCACCTCCGCGTGCTCAGTGTGCTCATCGTGAACTCAACCACCGCTGAAGTCATTCGGATATGTAAAAAGAGAAAAGAAAATGCATCAGCGTGTTCAGAAAGTTGTGAATGCAGAAATTGGTTTCGATCATTAATACAATTAATTATTGAAGTGTAGCTTAGCGAGAAAACGAAACTGATCAAAACTTGACGTGTAGCGACTATTCGAATTTATTTATATCCTGCATTTCACCTTTGCAATAGATTACATAAGAGATACGAGCGCTTTCTAAGGGCAGTAGAGGAAAATATTATATGCAGGTAAATCTTGCACACTCTTTTCGTATTTATGCAAAATATGACAGTGGTCACCATCCTAAACGGTCACAGAAAATACAGCAGTATATAAGCTTGTGGTGTCGAATAGTCGTGCGTATGGGGATTTAGAGTCTCAATATCTCATGTTGTACCTTGTGCTGTTTGTGAACGCGTTCATGTATAAAATCCTATGGTGTCTGTATGTTGCGTATGTGTGAAGTGTTGTGTGGAATATGTACAGACGTGCATGTCTGGCGAGGCGCTCAAAGGAAAGACTGTTAGTTCCTTTTTTTAGTTTGAGCGCTGTCCGTTAGGTGGCGCGTGTCACCGGCCGATTCAAGGAGTCGCGCGTTTATGTTTATACTTATTTGAGTGAGAACATGGAGGCGTTCGATGGCTCCACGGAGCAGCCTACGGAGGGTTCGGTTCTCGGCCTCTCGTTCTAGTGGGATCAGCTCCAAAGCCAGTTGAATGGGGGTTTCGTGCGGTGAATAGCGCCAAGTGCGTGCACAGACGCGGTGAGGATTACCAGGGACTTGAAAGTGGATAACGAATGCTAACAGGTGAGCAGGAGCTTTGAACGATCGGAACCGACGCCGCTTGAATGGGTGATGCTTCGCCTCGCCGCTGTCAACCGAAAACGCCGGATCACTGGCGGCAAGCACAGCAAGCAGATGCTTTGTTCAATAAAGACATCAGTCCATTTGTCGCTATACGATTCCTTCTTTGAATGTTTTCAGGCCGCGAAGTAAATACAGCCGGCCGCGCGAAAGCAGTCGCGGGCAAAGCCCCTTGAATGCCCGCCTCACATCGACGCCCCTGCTCGTAATAGGAGCGGTGCCGGTGCTTCGAGGCACGTTTTGAAATGCTTTAGTGTGCACGGAAGGCAGCGAACGGGCGGACGCACTTGAGAATCGTATTTTAGCGAAAAATAGTCCAGTCCGCTTGGCCTTACTCGTATTGCTCCACTGTCGCTTGCCAGCCGCAATGTTGCTTTTGGGGGTGGTCACTGTGACTACTTGTTGATTGTGTGCCGTGTGGCTACCCATGGGGTCGTTAGTGTAACTAAGGAGGGTAGCGATATCTGTGACGGCTTCTGACTACCCCCAATGTAGTACCCTACGGCTACCCATCTGTTGAGAGTGCAGAAGTCCGTGACCAAGCGTTGCTTTTCGGCCCTGCGCGTTTCATTATCACTCCTTTTAAAAGCGCATTGTCCCAATTCAACGCAAAAGGAAAACAAAAATGACTAATAAAAAATGCGGTGAGACAAAGAGAGGGAGAGAGAAACCAGTTTACGGAAACACCAGTCAATAAACGTCCGGAGAGAAGTTTATCTCCCCCGTCGCCCCTAGCCGTCGGCCGGAATGCCTTAGGACACAGCAACAGCAAGGGCTTGACCGATGATCTCCTGCTGGACTTTGAGGTCTGGGCTCCGGAACGTCTCCCAGGATTCTAGAGTGCGCAAGCTATCGTACTTAGTCGGACATCTCCATATCATGTGGACAAAATTTGCTCCCTCATCGCAAAATTAAATGTTTGACATGAATACTTCTGGATGCCACTTGCTGTAGAGTACGTCGTCCGTCTGTTTGTAATTTCCTCCACATAACCTCCTCTTTCTCACTGAGCGTTCTGTCCGCTCCCAGATAAATTTGTCGATTTAGTCTGCAGTGTAGTGATTTCCCGATATGCGCGCCTATCCTCCCTGCGGTTGATAGTTTCGGGGACTTGGGTGGTTCCGGGGGTCGACCGGTAAGTGAGACCTCGGCCGACCGAAGGAGCCTCCTCGTTCTGTCTAAGTTCCTGGTGAGCTGGTGGCCAAACGAGCAGAACCAGCTCTCTGGGTCCTCCTTCCTTTTTTACGCATGGCAGTCTCCGTCAACCTCCCCGATTCTTAATTTCTCACAGCGTTTTGGAGTTGCTGATGACCACCTTAACCCCCCCCCCCCCCCCCCCCGTTTGGCTGACAGCCAAGGCTATGGCCGCTTTTTCAGCTTCTACTGTCTCGACGCTACTGATTGTGCAGCACGTCACCGAAGTGCCGTGTTCCCTAACTGCCACGGCCGCTGTGCGCCGCTTCGCTCTCGTAATCTGCAGCCTCCATATATAGGACTTCCGGTCGACCTCTATACCTAAATTCTAATGCCACTACCCTATCTTTACGTCTGCCTTCGTGAAAGGCATTGTTTCTGGGTGGCGGAGGGATTTGATGTTGCCCCTGATTTGTCTCGGTATGTCTCTTCAGCGCACTTGCTCATGCTTGGGCACGTAGCCGTATATCTCTAAAAGTTTCCTCCCTTTCCTCTCCTCGTTAGATCCGAGTATCCTTTAATGCTGCGCGGTAACGGCAGTCTCAATTAGCTTTTCGAGAGTGTTCGACGCCCCTAGCCTCACAAGTCTGTCGGTCGAAGTGTTCGGGGGGCGACCGCGCGCCACCTTGGCACTTTTCCTAATATTGATTTCAAATTTGTTCCGTTCCACTCCGTTCAGTTGGAGGTAGGGTGCCACGTACACCATCCTACTGATTACAAAAGGTTGCGCGAGTCTCGAGAGACTCGCCTCCTTCATCGCAACGTGCCTGATCGCTATTCGTCTGATGAGACGACCCGTCTGATTTGCACTGGCTTCTGATCTAGCAGGCATTGTATGATTCTTCCGGTTCGCCTTAATCCTCAGTCTGACGACGCGGATACAGACGACCACGGAGATCTCTCCGCCTCTGACATACTGGTGGATGTCCGCCTCGTGCTTTTGGTGAAGCCGCCGTTTTCCGGGGGGCATGAGGAACAGTGCTTCCGACTTTTCTGCCCAACATTTGAGTCCTTTGAGTTTCGGGTTCTTCTTCATGATATCAATGGCACTTTACAGGGAGCTTTCAATGCAACCGTTACGGCCCTTGTTTATCCATAATATTAAGTCATCCGCGTATAAAGTGTGGTTTAGATTCTCAATTTCCCCGAACTGTTCGGGGAATCTCAACATCGCAATCTTGAAGAGGGCAGGTGATAGCACCGAGCCCCGCGGCGGCACCCTCTTATTCAGTTTAATGTCCTCAATGGACTCTTCCGCTATCTTGAAAGTGGCTTTCCTGTTTGTAAGAAAGTCCATGATGTAATTTTACACTCTTTTCCCGACATTGAGTGAGTTCAGATTCTCCAAGATCGACAGGTGTCTCACGTTGTAAAATGCCTTTGCCATATCTAACCACACGATCGCTTTCGTGTCTCCCGTTTGCTTCTCCATAATTTGGTATTTGAGCTGCAGCACCACGTCGCATGCCGACAGCTTCGCTCAAAAACCAATGATGCTGTCAGGATAAAGCCCATTTTCCTCCATGTACCTACTCAGCCACGTCTGAACGACGTTCTCCATAAGCTCACACACGCAGGAGGTGAGTGATGTCATCCTGAGGTTGTTGAAGTCCAGTTTCTTTTCCGGGTTGGGAATGAAAATAAGGTTTGCAAGTTTCCACTCCTACAGTATCGTCCCCTTCTACTAGAACTCCTGCATGTAGGCTTCGAGGTTGGCGATGGACCTGTCGTCTAAATTACAGAGCATTTTGTTGCTCACTCTGCCCGGCCTAGCCGCTGACTTAGACCTCAGCCGATTAATCTCCGCTCTGCCCTCAGCCAGGTAGATTGGAACGTCTAGTTCCGAATTCTCTCCCCCTCCGTAGTCCGGGTTGGGTTCAGGTCCGGCGGGATTGATGTACCTGTTCCGAACTTTCACGTGTTCATTCTTAGTTCGGTCAGATTGATACGCCAGTCTTTAGACCTGTTGTTTGGATGCTGACTTTGTGCTATCCGGATCTAAGAGGTGGAGAACAAGTTGCCAGGTCCCCGCGGTACTCAAAATCTTCCCCGTCTCATCGCAGACGATCACCAATTTTGCTTCATGACCGCGATTGCACGCTCTTCAATTTCGTGTTTAAAGCCGCTATCTGTTTTCTGATATTCCGTTTCCAGTTCCTCTGTTTATGCCGGTCCTCCAACATTTTCTTTGTGATCCAGAGATTTATTAATCTCTTGTCTCCTACATCGTTGCCAATTTCGGTTTCCACCGCACGCTTGCGCGTGAAGTCTCTAAAGTTCCGGTGCCATGCGGTGTTTTTACTGGATCTGTAAGACATGATTGGCCAATTAGCAGATCCAGCCGACTTCCTAATACTTGTTGGGTGACCTGTCCATATGCCGATCCCTCTGCTCAGCTGCCCGGTCCCTTTTCTCCAAATTCTTCCTAAAGTTCTTCAGCGAGTTTATTATCCCCTTGATGCAGTTGCTCTGCGAGATTCTGCGCGCTTCTGAATCCGATTCCCTCGAACCATGTCTCCGGATAAATATGACACAGCAATACTTCGCTCTCAGCAAAAGGGTTTATTCACTCACTCATTGCCTTGGGGGGTTTCGGGATCGGGGGGCCGGTCATCAGCGAGGCCGGGGGTAAGTCCGCTGTCACTGCAGCTGCTCTAAGTCCTAGCGGTAGTAGTACACACCGCGTCATGGAGACGTCGTCGTCCAGGGTCGCCGTCCGGTCCGTTTGTCGAGTCCGCCACTCGACGTCTTGCCCGCACTTTCCCCGCGCCTGCGTCCGTCGCCCGCCAAATCCCGCGCCAGCGTCCTCGTCTCTTTGTCACCGCTGCACCATACTTCGTGTCCCACCGTTCGAGAGAGAGTCACCGTCCAAGAGCGCTCCCGTCCAAGAGTGAGCCTTCCTTTGTTCGGCTTCCCCTTTTCAAGCCTTCGCCTTTTTGTCTTGGGAAGCCAGTCGCGTGACGTCAGTTGGCCTAGGGGAGCGCCGTACACGGATCTCTGGTACGCGAGGCCACGGCCGCTCCCCTGAGGCGCGACGTATTCGGAGGCCAGAAACTAGGGTTCGGAGGGTCGGCGCGGGGGAGGGCCAGCCAGATCTCCACAATTCTTATCTCGCTGATGCAACTGCTCTGGGAGAGTTTGAAACATTCCCAAAATGCGTTCCTCAAAGGACTTGCGCCATTTATAGTCCCGGTTAGATTTTGCCTCAAAGGTTGCCTCCAATTTCACTATTTTAAATCTATCACTGTCTCTGTGTCCTTATCTATTTTGGGTTTGTCCACGTCCTTCGCCCTCTTAGCCGGCGGCGGAGCCGCACTCTGCTCCTTTGGTTTCCCTACATTTGCGTTTTCCGGCACTTGCAAATGTTTCGAAGGTGCTGAATGAGGCTTAAGAGCTATTTGAAGCTCCGCAATCTGCCTACTCATCGCCGCTAGCTGTTCTTTAAGCATGCGATTTACTGCCTGAATCTTAAACATTTCTTCATCGCGTTTATCCTAGGAGGCCATGTCTACCCAACCCACTTTTTGGCTCGACGACTTGGCTCTCGCTGGGTCGTTGACAGCGCCTCCGGAGCTCCCCGCAGTCCCGGGTGCGGCCTTCTGTTGCTTCTCCTCTTGCCGTTGCGACAGCCGCGGGAAGGCATTCGATCTCTCTCTCGGCACGCTCCGGTTTCTTGACTCACTCCTGGATCTCCCCGAATGCTTTTCCCATCGGCTTCTCCCCACTTCGGCCTCCTTTCCCTTCCAATCTTCCTCTTCCATGAGTAGCTTAGCTTCCCATTGCCTCTTCTCTATCGCATACCGACTACTAAAAGCTTCTTTCCATTTCCGGTCTGCTGTCAAATTACCTTTACCGCACAACTTACACTTGGGCTCGCATACGTAATCCACGGGTGGGGCTGCCACTCCGCATCCCCGACAATTAACTTGGGCGCTGACACATACGCCTGATCTGTGTAGTAACTCGCCACATCGATAGCACATCTCGTAGCGTTTACTGCACAGCACTCGCTTCAGAGGTAAACCGTAGCAATACGTCCACATCGACACTGTCTCGTGTTTGAAGGTTGCAATTGCCGAACAGGAGTTGCCCAGCTTCCGAACGCCAAGTATCGGTAGGTTCTTCGGTTGTCCAAAGGCCTCCGTCAGTTCCTCTACTGTCAATCCCGGGACGATGCCGGGTACTCCACACCGCGCCGTGCGGCGCGAGGTACGCCGTGATTTCGTTGTCACCGTCGTTGATCTTGATAGACTCAATCTTCCAGCACCCCATGTCCGGGGTGCTGGAAATCAGGGTGCCTTTCTTCCCCACTGAAAAAATATAAAGTTTACGAGAAAGGCTTAAGAGAAATTCATATGTGTTTATTGGACACGAGAAGGATACGAGTTTCTCATTTATACGAGTACTAATAGGATTTCTTATTTTATACGAGAAGTGATACGAGATTATCGTTTCATATGATTTCTCGTTTCATACGAGATTCTAATTTGACACATAAAACCATACGATTTCTCGTTGCACGAGATTCTCATTTGATCCATGGAGTCTCCGTTAGATAGTTATTGAACTTTTGTGTTCGTGTTCTGAAATTCATGTTAGAAAAGCATGTTTGGCATAAGGAATGATGTATCTAATTACTGAAAGCACATTTAAGACGTCAGTCCAGACGTGCACGTCGATATGCTGGCCAGAAAAATGAATCCCTCAGAAAGTCAAACTACCTTTATTCTATAGTACCAGAAGGGGAGGTAGGGCGCTGTAAGGGAGACAGTATTGACAGAAGCGCCATCTCCTCTGCCTCAGCTGCTGCCTCTTGGCTCTTCTTCCGCTGCGCTTTTTTCCACCTACTGGAGGTGTCTTGTACGTAGTTGGCCAAGTATGCGTTCGTCTTGGCCAGCCTAGCGCCAACTTCTTCCTCGGACTTGTTCCCAATGTAGGCACGCAGGGCAGCTGAAGAACGGAAACGGAACAGGACACAGAATAATCAACATTCGACTTTAAAAGACTCCACATGAAACATATTTGCAGAGCCAATTAAAAGGGCAGTGCAACGATTTCCAGACTTTGGTCAAATATTTGTGGAAGTTGCCCTTATTTGACACTTGGAACGTAAAGAACAGAAAACAGATTTCACCTGCGTGTCCTAGCTGTGTAAAATAAGAGAAATATTGACATTTTTGGCACCCTTCAACTCACTCACAATTATCAGGGTCACCCTGAAGACTGCGAGCGAGTTGACATAATTAGGTTCACGCGTATGTTCATGTGTGATGATCTCTCGAGCACATTAAGCATCGCTTTTTCTGCTGACATTAGAGGGCGTTAAGCTGCAGCTTCGGCCCGGGCGACGTAGCGTAATCTTTGCGCCGTAATTCCTTCGGCTGCCAATCGCAGCTGCAGATGGAAAAACGACTTTTGCTTTGCAATTACACAGTGCAATTCTGACATTTCGAAGGAAGGAGATGCTTTCTCAATCCTCGGGTACACGATGAACAAATGTAAAAATTACAATGCAAATTATTTTCATCTTAACATTGTTGCTTTGCCTTGTACGCAAAACTAATCATTTGTACCACACGCCTCTGCATTGGGAATGGATGCCATGTGCCCACATGCCTTGTCCGGGTGAACAGAACTACGAGGTGGTGCAGCAAACGTTTCAAGCAGGGAAAGGGTGCGAAACTGCGAAATGTGATTGCCGGCTTCGCCCTGCGTCGCCTTGTAGAAGTTATCGTTCAGGGATTAATAATTATATGAGCGAATTATTCTGCCAGAGACTGGCACTACTGCTAATAGGTCCATTTTACAAACATTCCAACGATGTTCGGGCGCCTAACGACCACGTGCTACGGGAAAGCGATTTATTTAAGGCTGGGCGATTTATCGATCAACCTTCCGATTAATCGATTAAGGCTTTCATTGCGATCAACCATTTTAACCGGTTAATGTTTTTTTTTATTGGAACCCGGAAAATATTAACTTCGTCAACAAACCAAGGAACTCGCTTCTGCCGGAGAATGTAAATCAATACCTTGTCTTGGAGTAGGAGCAACAATCAGCGAGTGTCTTTGAACCGCCTGCTAACAGCACATTGAACTACATATCCTCAGTATGAAATTTACATTATGCCGTGTTTAAGATACTCAACGAAGTTATCAAAGGATAATTGAATACAGTAGAACCCCGATAACTCAATCTCGGTTCATTCGGAATACCGAATAATTCACAGAATTTCCAAGGTCCCATGGCTTCTTACGAAAATATGACCGAATAATCTGAGCGCTTCGCACGTGCCTATCCAGTTAATTCGTGGAGCTGTGGTTCGGGTCTTTACTGAACCGCGTGTAAGCGATTTCGCGAGCGACAGCCACATCTTCGAGAATCAGCAACAAGCGGCGGAGATTTCTCACTGTTGCCCATCGCGTTGCTCATCACCTTGTTCGATCGCTTCCGTCGCTTTCTCTCTTTCATGCAGTTTGCCTCGTCACGCGATTGACTGAGCAACAGTGAAGCGGGTCGCCGTCGCTTGTCTTGTTGCTCGCCAAATCACTTACATGCGACTGGCCGTGGAGCAGGAGGGTGCCGCCAATGCTAGTGCCAGTACTGTCCCTGGGATTGACGATGAGGGAGAGGGGCTTTGCTCCCGCATTAAGGACAGTGACAGTGAGTCAGTTGGCATGCTTTCACAGACTACTTAAAAATGGAAGAGAATGAGTAAACGTGCTCCGGAGACCTTGAGTGCGAAATCGCTGAGTGTGACGGTAGAGATTGGTGAAAATGATGAGCCACCTCGGTCCTCCGCTCTAGGGGAAGTTATACAGCCGCTGAATGTCGTTAGCAGCTTTGTGGAATGTAATGATGGTGATTCTGAGATGTTGCGCCTAGTTAGCCCTTTTGAAAATATGACGGTCGGCGCCGCTAATTACAGAACGCAGCAGTCCCCTATCACCGACTACTTCAGGTGATGTTCTGTCGTTTTGAATAAAATGTTATCTTCAAGATTCAAGGCTTCGCGCACAATTTTTAGTACTTACTGTACTTTTTTTTAATTTTAAGTAACGCTATATTGCATAAGTGCACATTTCTACGTCACATTCTGTCATTTACCGTGATGAATACTTTTGTTCATTAGAATGCTATTATTGGATGGGAAGTTCATACTTACCCCGAAATATTTTTAATTTCTTGGGCGTCATAGGCTACTTTGTGCCCTCAGGACACTCCTTGAGAAATCGGCGGGAGGGATTCCCCATAACACTCCGCACCAACAGCTCTTCGTGTGTCCAGAACGCCAGGGCGGTATTCCGCACCATTTTCGAGTCGGCAGCAGACTTCTTAACGCAGTGGTTAAACTGCGCTGCCATCATGAACAGGCCGCCGCCCAGGTCAACCTGTGCAAAAGTGAGAATTACAATACGTTAGATCAGTGGAAAAAGGACACATGTCTACAATACAAAACATTTCATTAGAGCAGAACCTTGTTAATAAGCTCTCCCAGCCCTTACATCCAGGAGTAAAGGTCCCGTTCAACTCTTTTAAGGATATGTGCAAAACTTTCTTGGTTGTTAGCTCTGAAAAGGTCCAGTTGATGCAGCCAGCAAAATGCACTGGGCTGCCCAGTTGTGGTCATCTTCTGATTGTCCTTTCATTTTTGTGTCAAGAGTTTGCCCCCCTACGCTGCTGCCATGGCCTTATACTAACCTTGGACAGGCATCTTCCAACAACCCAATTACCTCTCCATCTTTTGTAGCGTAGGCTACACTGGCCGAGGTTGAGCAGTTCCGCATGGCTCCTGGAGAGCCGTGCTGCGCATGCGCGAGGAGCAGTGACCAAACGGGCAGGACTGGTATGGCGACTATACTTTGTTTCATACTTAGCGTGCAACGCTATCAAAGCTACTGGAGCGAGCGCGTTTCTTCATCTATGGTTTTGTTTGCGCGAGAACGCGTGCATATGATCAACGAGATCAAGCCCCACGCTCGCGCCAGTAGCTTTGACAGCGTTGCACGCTAAGTATGAAACAGAGTATAGGCCAGTCTCCAATGCACGCGCCGTGCGCATGCATCCGCTCGAGATCGTGGCTCGCGCTGTCCGGTTTTTCTGGGCGGCAGCTTGGTTGCTTGATACATAGCAACACGGAGCACAGCTGGCCAAACCAACGACAGGCACCTGGCTCCCCAGCGGAGGACTGAGGATTAATTTGGACCATCTGGGGATCTTTTGACATGCAACCGAAAGCTCGGTTACACAGCGCCTCCTCCGCAATAAGAGCGGAGAAGCTTCACTCATCACATCCCGAACTAGTCACATACTGCGTATACTGTGTGTGTGATTAAAGCAGCAGTAAGCATGATAATCAAGCTAATCCTAGACAACCAGGAAAGCTAAGAATAACCAGCTGAACTTAAGCTTACGCTACGTATATCCTGGCATAACCGCGCTACGATTTTGTGCAGCGTTGCCCACAGATGGTGCATATTTTTGTAAAATTTGCAAAAAGCAAACTTAATTGAGGAAAAATTAAAGAAAGAAAAAAGCTCAGCTCCTATGGAAACGCAGCAAAGTCACCGGTCTTCAAACAATACGGCGCCGTTTCTCACGGGAGACAAGAGATGGCGCAAGAGGTCGCGACGCCAACTGCCGCCAACGAACGAGCATACGTTGCCGAGAGCTGGCATCTTTAGCAAACAATCTTTTCGACTCAAAAGCGGCGCAAGCTTTTTTGATATCCGTTGCTAATGCATTATTTTATCATACTTACTAATAAAACAGATTGAATAGACACATAATCGATTAAAAAAATAATTTGGCTGGTTATTTTGACTGCTTTCTTTCGTGGTACTTTTGTCATCTGCTGTGCAGTTCCTTGTTGTTACTGCGCCTGTTTTTGTTTCTGCGACTGTCGGCGCCTGTGGAACGCACGCCGCTTTTGAGTCGAAAAGATAGTCCGCTATTTGACGCCGGCTCTCGGCGCCGTATGCTCGTTCGTTGGCGGCAGTTGGTGTCGCGACCGCTTTCGCCATCTCTTACCTCCCGTGAGAAACAGTGCCGTATTGTTTTGAGACCGGTGGCTTCACTGCGTTTCTATAGGAGCTAAGCCTTTTTCTTTCTTTACTTTTTCTTCAGGTAAGTTCGTCTTTTCAAATTTTACAAAAAAATGCACCATCTGTGGGCAACGCTGCACTAAATTGTAGCACGATACGTTAAGAAACTGAATTTTGCGGTTGACTTAAAGAGCCTGGTCGCCACTTGGGACACCCGGTATAAAGTGACTAAAATTTCAGATGCATACAGGCAATGCACGATATCCCAAGGCAGGTTCGCACCCACAAGACTGCATGCGGTAACCTATGCGATTTCTTCACAGTTGCTTATCCCACACATGCGATAGGTCAAGTGCGTTTATGCGCATGCTCACTACCTACAGCTCCTATGAGCGATCCCACTAGGAACGTGTTCGCAGCTGAAGAGCTTATTCCCCCAAAAAATTATTGTGCTTTAATAAGCTGTGAACATGGTTTGGCCTTTTCTTCAACAGCTCTTCAAATAAACTCTTTTGGGAAAAACTGAAGAGTGTCCGGCTGCTTCTGTGGCAGCCCCCTACATGAGTCGGCTGTAACATCTAAATCGGATATGGCCTATACATACCTGATCATTATCTCCAACTGCTCCTACCGCAAGAGGAGGTGGCCTTACAGCCACGGGACGAGGAGGTGATGGCAATGCTGCCACGGGACGGGTTTGTGGCAATGCAGCCACAGGACAAGGTGGTGTCACGACTGCCACGAGTCGAGGAGGTGACAAGGCTGCCACTAGACGAGGTGGCGGCACAACTGACATGGTAGGAGGTGGTAGCAAAGCTGCCACTGGGCGAGGTGATGGCAATGCTGTCACAGGGCGAGGTGGGGGCAATGCGGTCACAGGACGAGGTAGTGACATGACTGCCACGAAGCGAGGTGGAGGCACGACTGCCACAGGACAGGGTGACGGCACGACTGTCACAGGACCAGGTGGTGGCGCTGCTGCCACAGACTCATGTGGTAACCCCCAGAGACTTCAGGGAGTTCCCCTGATGCCTCTAGAGCAAAGGAGTCCTGACACAGCTCTTCTGAACTGCAATCATCGCAGTCCCGGCCTCCAGCGTCTTTGCTGGGAGGACAGGTACGAGCCTGCGAGGCTGAACCTACATGAGCCAGGCAATCTGGTACATACAGGCGGGGAAGGGAACCGTCAGCAAGGCAGCTCCGAGCCATATGGTGTGATGTCCTGGTAGAAGACTCCGCTTCTTTGATAGATTGTGAACAAGGCCATGCATATTACGTCCTTCATGAGGTGGTGTGGGCTTAAGTAACGCTCTACGCTCATACAATTACGCTATTCACATAGTTATCCCTGACTTAAATTAACATGTTTTCGAAAGCAAGCAAACCTACGAAGGAACTGTGACTTTTCGCATAGGCCATAGGAATATGAATCTTAAAAGCCGCGGTTCTGAGTGTATGAAGGCCGTTACCGTATTTGCTTGCCTAATCAACACTTTTCTTAGTGAAAAATCAACAGCAAATTTTAGAAATGCCTGCACGGTAATTGTTACAAGGGGATTGCTTGTTAGAGAAATCAATGAAATTTGAAGTTTTTACGTGCCAAACCTACGACGGGCATCTGGCACGTCCCACCGGAGGACAGGATTAATTTTGACCACCTGGGGATCTTTTGACGTGCAACCGCAAGCTCGGTTACACGGCGCCTTCTCCGCAATAAGCCTCCGTCGTATTGCGGGCACCTCGATCGGGATTCGCACCCGCCACCTGCGGATCCGTAGGCCGGCGCTCTCGCCTCGGAGCCACCGAGGCGGCTTGCTTGTTAGAGAATATTTCGAAATAGCTAAAATCAGGTAATAATTGGGGTCCCGTGTTTTCAGATAAATCCGTAGAACATTTGCCTGTAAACTTTATGCGAGTTATTTATTTCTGAGTCCTGAAAGGGGCAACAATATTTTGGAGAATTGGGAATATGACAAGAATAAATGCTGGATTACAGAGATTTACAAATGTCACACAAATAAACCTCAAAATTCTCTGCAAAAAAAAACCTCCAAAAAATACCATTCAAATTTTACTAAAAATAAACTCCAAAAACACTGAACACTAGTAATAATGTTGGTAATTAGCACTATTGGTGTCCCAGCCATGAGAACGATCGCACAAATTTCGCTTGTTACACTAAACAAGAGCAAGCGTTATACCAATATCAGATGAATGTGTGGTTTTTGCTGCCACTGAACGATGGTGCTGGATTGTCGGTTTCAGCCATGAAGCCGAGCTATCTGTTTCTTAATTTCAATAAAAAAAATTAAAGCCATTTACAACCTGTAACACCGAATTGGAGCGCAGCTCTTGAGGAGGAGGAGGGAAGGATACTGAGGGTTACCTGTTCTCGGGGCGGGGTGGGGGGGGGGTCATGTGACCTTGGAGGGTCACGTGACCCCCCAAAAAACTTTTTCCGCTAGATGAATTTTTTACGCTAGATTTAGCGGGGAAATTTTCCCGCTAGGTTTAACGGGAAAAATTTTCCGCTAGACTTAGCGGGGAATTTTTTCCGCTAAATCTAGCGGGGAAATTTTTCCGCTAGCTTTAGCGCGGAATTTTTTCCGCTAGATTCAGCGGGAAAATTTTTCCGCTAGATTTAGCGGGTTAATTTTTCCGCTAGATTTAGCGGGGCATTTTTCCCGCTAGATTTAGCTGAGAAATTTTTCCGCTAAATTTATCGGAGAAATTTTTCCGCTAGATTTAGCTGAGAAATGTTTTCGCTAGATTTAGCGGGAAAATTTTTCCGCTAGACAGCGGGGATTTTTTTCCGCTAAATCTAGCGGGGAAAATTTTTCCGCTAGATTTAGCGGGGAAATTTTTCCGGTAAATCTAGCGGGGAAATTTTTCCGCTAGATTTAGGGGGGAAATTTTTCCGCTAGATTTAGCGGGGAAATGTTTCCGCTAGATTTAGCGGGGAATATTTTCCGCTAGATTTAGCGGGGAAATTTTTTCGCTAGATTTAGCGGGGAATTTTTCCCGCTAGATTTAGCGAAAAACATTTTCCGCTAGATTTAGCGGGGAAATTTTTCCGCTACATTTAGTGGGGAATTTTTCCCGCTAGATTTAGCGGGGAAATTGTTCCGCTAGATTTAGCGGGGAATTTTTTCCGCTACATCTAGCGGGGAAAATTTTTACGCTAGATTTAGCGGAGAAATTTTTCCGCTAAATCTAGCGGGGGAATTTTTCCGCTAGATTTAGCGGGGAAATTTACCCATAATGCACCGGGCGGTTACGCCGACGGCGACGGCGACGCCGACGCCGCTCAAGCCGGAAACGGGCCCCTAAGGGCTGCGCTCTAAAACTTGCAGCCCTTCCACTCTGCTGAAGATGGAAGACCAGCGAAGCTGTGCTATGGAGGGATTTAAGTATTTATAATTATAACGATTAAGGTGTGATGGTGCAATTGGTTATTTGAATGATTAAAGAATCAGACAGATATATATAACGATCCGGGGCTGTTATTGATTTTGTAACCACAGTGACCATGGCCTTGTGATCGCGGCGGTACAACACCATAGGGTGTACGCTGACAGCAGGCACGGTGTTCGTAAAGACGAGATATATACATGTCCGATGCCTGGTCATAGGTACCGTAGGTTTATTTACACACGCAAGCTCGGAGCTCTCGAGCACAAACGATGTGAACCATTTTCTCTCCTGGCGTACAATAACAATGTTAAAGTAACCAGTCACTACGACAGACGTGTCGTCGCCGAGCATGACCCAGCTAAAGACGTCTATCATGAATGCTTCAATGCCACTCATGGGCGTCGCAAAA